CATTTGGATCTCGTCAGCGATCTTAGTACAACCACCTTTCTCCGGAGCTTCCGGAGATTTGTAGCGCGGCGAGGAGTGCCGGCAGTTGTGAAGTCCGACAACGGCAAGACCTTCAAGGCAGCCGCACGTCTCTTGCGAGACCTCCATGTGGAACCGGAGACGAAGAGCTACTTGCAAGCCAAGAACATCCGTTGGACGTTCAATCTGGAGAAGGCACCTTGGTGGGGTGGCTTCTTTGAGCGACTCATCAAGAGTGTCAAGCGATGCGTCAAGAAGGTCCTGCGGTCGGCGCAGATTACAGCTGACGAGCTATTGACATTACTCGCAGATGTCGAGGCAATTCTAAACTCGCGCCCGTTGACGCACGTTTCGACGGAGGATGTACGAGAGCCGCTGACGCCATCTCACCTGCTATGTGGCCGAAGAGTTCTGTCACTACCTGACATGGTCGCCGACGATCCTGACGAAGTGCCTGTAAGCCGCAGATATGCCTATCTGCAAGAACTCCTGCGTCACTTCTGGTCTCGGTGGAAGAATGAGTACCTGCTGGAGCTCCGGAACAGCCACCGTATCGGACGTCACACCGATGTTGATACTATCGCCGTGGGTGACATTGTGGTGATTCACCAAGACGGGGTTCAACGCGGCCTGTGGAAGCTGGGAGTCGTAGACAGCTTGCGTCCAAGCGAGGATGGTCGTGTCCGAGGAGCTGTGGTGCGCACAACAACGAAGAGCGGCCGACCGACAACGCTAAACCGGCCGATTCAACGCCTCTATCCGGTTGAACAGCTTGTCGTATCACCAACCGCAGCGACACCTGAAAAGTCGACGCAGCAGATGCCTGATGCAGCGGACGACACGCCTGTCGAGGACGCAGCAGATGCCAGCCCAGTTCCGGACAACCGGCAGACACGCCCACGTCGGGCTGCAGCTCAGCGAGCGCAGCAGGAGCGACAACAGCTTATCAGTGCCAACAGGTTGTGAATATGGCAGTGCACCAGCAGTCGCATCTTTCTATTCGAGTGTTGTAATGTAGTTGACTATTGAATAGTCAAGGAGGGAGTGTGCGAGATTTATGAGTGTCAGTTGTCATGTTGTCAAGGAGGGAGTGTGCGAGATTTACGAGTGTGATTTTGAGTGTGATTGGACAGGACACTGCGCTGAAATAGAATGAATGTTGTTGTGATAACATCATTTACGAGTGTGTTGTTACAATACAGTGTTTGTTGTGCGTGTTTGTCGGATACGCCGATATAATCAGTTGCATAGATAATACTTACGTTGTTGCTTGCATTCTCGCTCTCCACAGCAACTCCACAGCGTGCTGCGTTCTATGTATTCCTATTCTGTACACTGACTCTCTCTGACAGGGTTTGCTGTCACCCTGTCTCTGGGCGCAAGCACCCTCTGACAGACCAAACTGATTTGCTTCATCTCCACAATATTTATCTCCTTTCGATTTGAATTTCTGTTTGTTCTGCACTCTGATTTTTCCTTGTTGCACCTGCGCTTTTGTACGCGGACCTTTTCTGTCGCCATCGCGTCGCCATTATTTATATCCATGGTTACGTGGTGGTATGACTCATCGATGCATCATGCGCATGATCATTCTTCTTTTCTACTCGTACACTTCGATATGCATGCACGCACACTGATGTACACCGTACTACACGTACACGTAAGCCAATGCACGCACGCGAGCACGTTTTGCTGATGACAGCGATTTGGCGATCGTTGTTGTTGTTTGTTTTCTGGTTGAGTTGAGAGTATGGTTGAAACCAATAAGTAAATACAGTCTTCTAGTTGTCTCCACGAAAAGGCCAGGAAATCGTGCCACAACAGGGGTCTGAAGACCGCGTAGTTTTTAGTTGTGGTCGATAATTTCACACATGTCCAGGAAACCAGACGACAGTGTTCACCCTGATAAAGACGTGTTCTACTTCCAAATGGAGCTTGAAGTCGCTTGCTCATATTCCTGAGCATAACTGTATCACCAGCCTGTGGCATCTCCACCGTCGCTTCGGGATGTTCTCTGCAGTACTCCAATGCCTTCTCGGTGACATGAGTTGAGAGGCGTCTGAAGCAAATGAAGTATGTGTGCACACATCAGACAGTTCAATATTCTTATTCTTGGGCAAGTTGGGAGAGCTTGATTAGACTGAATTTATCTGACAATGCACAAGGGGTAAATTCTTGTTCTTGTTGTGAACTGAGAAAGAAGACGACTAATGCGCAAGGCGCTTGCGCAGAGACAAAAAGGACCAGGAAAAACATGGAGGACGTAGCTTAGAGGCGGGTGTGTACGTCTGGAATAATCTATGCGTACGGAAGTACACATAGCATAAATCGGATGACGAGAAAACCGCATCAGTCAGCAGAAACAATAAACTCGCGGCCCAGCTTCGGTGTGGGAACGCGGAAACAAACTGGGAATGAGAACACAAACTATGACGTGTACATTGGATAGTACGCGTACTCTGAAGACTAGAGAAACTACAGTGCAAATAATTTCATGACGTTGAGCATCATGTCAACGTCGTGACAGTATGCTCGTCGTGCTCCTGTTGCAACAAGGCGACTGAAGGACTTTATCCACACCCAATGCTGGGCATCAGCGTTGTTGCGTTCGTCTTGAAACAGCAACACATTGATGGCATTCTGCGGTTGACGAGAAATTCTTAAAGTATATAGGACTGTCTCTTCATATCCAAAAACGTTGATGTGAAGGCCGTCATTTAGTCTTTCAATGACTGCTATGTCTTCTAGTTTTGCCGGAAACTCGATGACGTTTCCATTAACAGCATTGCTGTCAATGCCAGCCACTTCACGATTTATCCTTGAAAGGCAAATGATCCAACTAACACCCTCAGGAGCCTTGCTCTTCTGCAATGACCGTTCAGGCTTTTCTGGGTTGACGGCAATTATCGATTTTTGACATTTCAAGTCTTGAGAGAACAATTGTCAGCTTCACAACAGGTCTTGCCTCCAGCTACAGAGTCCATTGGTAGAGGTGGACACACCATACCATTCAACGAGGCTACGTTATTCATCCACATACTCTTTGTATTCAGTGAGGAATGCTCTCAGCTTACGGCATATTGACTCTGATGCTGTAGCGTACGACTCACTGTCGCTGCCATCACCATCGTGATTACTTGCATGGGCACTTGCCAGCCAACCGTCGCACTGGCATGTTTCCTCCTCGAACGCACCGGTGTGCACTGCAAGCGCCCTACCGAGGGCCTTAACTGACGCCAAAGCAGGTGTCATGATGACAGGATCGCCTTTTGGCACCAATTTTATGTGGTAAAACTTCACTTTCACTTAGTACAAAGCATGCACACTCTGTCGCGGACAGCTGGCCAACAGCTGCCGCGACAACTTCACGAAAGGAGAGAGACCTGGTTCATTGTTACTCTTGTTTCATCACATGAAGAATATTGTTTGGAAACGAAACTACCGAGAGAAGGACACGAAGCACTACAAGAGAGCGCTCCGAAAAAGGATTCGCTCGCACGGCAGCGTATGCATGCCGTGCCAGCTTACTGTGTGCAAAAATGAGAAACCAAAAATAGATTGTGCTACGTGCAAAAGCCAGCCAGTTTGGGAAGTGCATCGTAGCGATTGCGTATCGACGCTAAGATGGCGGCTGCACTGGAGCGCGGCCAGTGCGTGCATGCAAAAAAAGGGAAATAAATAAATCATGAAAATGCAGTTCAAATAAATCGTCCGTTCGATCGAAGAGATCAAATAATTGCAGACATGAAATTCATTTCAGAACAAGAATATAGAGCGAAGCTAGTCATGTGTAAAGCTACCTTACTACAAATAATTAGTAATTAATTACTATACCTATAACCAAGAGTAGATAAACAAGAGTGTGCAACTCGCGGATGGGTAGGCCCACGGCGGAATTTTTTGTTGACGTAATCTTTTCAATGACGCACGCGCTGCGAGTCTTTCGGATAGTTTTCCCTCGTGCTCTTGGCCGGCTTTACACTACAAGGTCGGTGCCCAGCACGTGCTCTCACACTGCTCTGCGGCAAAATGCGCGTTCTTCTGAAAAAAGGTGACGTCAACAAAAAATTCCGCCGTGGGCGGGGGTATCTGCAGATTGTGCAGGAGAGATCCGGAGTTGCACACTCTTGTTTATCTACTCTTGCTATAACTTAGCTATGGGCAGCGGACCTGGACCCTATCGCTCCTGGGATATACCTTAGGCAAGAGTGCGACGTAAAGACAAATTGTAAATACCGTAAATTCAAATTGCACTCGTAACATGTATTCAAATATTGACAGTCCGGCATTCGCACATATCGCGACAGCTGCTGCTGGTGCTGGTGCTGGTGGCGGTGGTGCTGGTGCTGGTGCTGGTGGAGAGAACAATCTCATTAAGTTTTTTTGAATGACTTGAAAGCATCACTGGTGAAAGATAGGCCAGCTGAAGAAAAAAAACGGACGATCGATCGAAACTCAATGAAAAGCATCAAGATGTTGCAGCTGAATGCATCTGGCAGCATTCAGCTGGACTTTTTGGGCTGAAAGACGCTCGACGGAAAAGGAGCCGAATTCAGCCGTTACCTTGGAAAAGACTGAAATAGTCCACGTGTCGTCGGCTGAATGGCTAAAAAATGTCCACAGTGACCGCAGCCTGCAGAGTGCGTGTCCCCAAAGGATAACCCACAGCATCTTATATTCGCCAGAAACGCGGGTGCATTTCCCTGTGTTGACATAGAGTACTTTTCATGTATGTCTATGTGCATGCGTGTATGTGTCTGTGCATGGCTTTTGTGTGCATGTGTATGTGTGTGCGTGCGCGCGCGTGTGTGTGTGAGCTGGGCATATGTGTATGTATGTGTGTGTGTGTGTGTGTGTGTGTGTGTGTGTGTGTGTGAGCTGGGCATTCGTGTATGTGTGTGCATGTGTGTGTGTGTGTTTGTGTGTGTACATGCACACACGTACATATATGTATGCGTGCATATGGCTGTGTGGTCTTGCAGCAAAACCAAGAGATCTCCCAGGTCAGAAAAACGCTACAGACGATGTTAGCTCAAGTCTAAAAGGAGGGGCGATGAGTATTGAGAGATACTCCTGCCGGCACAAGTCACAATGTTACGATTTCTTCGACAGTCACGACTGCATGTTCTCTTCTCTACATTATCCTGTTTCTAGTAATGTCTGTCCATGCAAACCTCATAGCCTGGACACGGATAAACCTCATTGCCTGGACACGGATAGCTTATGTGACATACAGTACACTGCTGCACACACACACACACACACACACACACACACACACACACACACACACACACACACACACACACACGCCATATCTCTGAGTCTAGGCAACAGAGTGGTGTATTCGCACGTATAACAGTCAGTGACACTGTGATTGTGTTAGGATATCGCATACTTCTCACGGTCATCATGGATTCAGTTGCAACCAACTCTCCCCCCCCCCCCCCCCCCGCCCACACACATGCCTCCTTCTTTCGTTCTTTTTACGAATTGGGTGTTTGGTTTTCAAGTATAAACAAACACACACACACACACACACACACACATTCATGTACACCATGCCTCAGCACCATAATTATTGCTTAAAAAAAACAATGATAATTATCATGTCAATATATTATCCTCCAGAGCATTCTACCAAGAGTACTCTTGATTCTACAGTATCTTGTTCTCCCCACACAGGTAGCCAGGGGTTGAACACACACCCAGATTATCTCCAGATACGCAATAACAACCGACAAACTATGCTACACGCCGAGTGATATCTTGAAGACTTGTGGAGCACATTCATTTCACAGATATAATAATAACCAGACTGCAGTAGTTGCAGTAGCACACAATTATTGTCAACGTGTTTAGAAAATATCTTCATATTATGTATACACAATCTCTGGGAAGGTAGTACTGTACGAGCATGTCAGTGTGGGAAGCAGCTGAGATATGGTATGCTGTAAATTGTTATGATGAGTGCAGTGGCTTGGGACGTGACCTGTGTGCATCATTTCCCACGACAGACTGATGCAAATGAAAACTTACCATCAAGAAGACGATGGGTGAAGACACATACGTCATCAGGACATGAATGCACGCACACACGCATATACCCAACACACATCAGTTTATTTTATTTTTACTAGAAAGTTAACACAGCCCTGCGGAGAGCCAAGTGGAGACAAACACAACACAAGACACCTGGGAAGTAAGGACGACATGCTGATGTCCAGGGAGCAACACGACCGACCAGAGGTCCCGGCGTTAGAATTGTAACATGGCAACGAAAATGGGGGGGGGGGTTGCATAGCGAAAAAATTAGGTGTATCCACACATGCACATGTGGACACAGGCAATCTAAAATTCGCTACAAAATCCACACAGTTTAGAGAGTATCTGCGAGAGAGACAGACACACACACCACATACACACATACACATGCACACACACCCAAGGCTGACTCCACACTTTCTGAAGCTGAGGACTGATACTAGCTCGCTTGATGTGAAATGGCTCAAGATACACGAAAATAAATACTGGAGACTATACTGGGGAATAGATAAATAAAAGAGGTTTGCCGAGATGCACAGAGTGGTGACAAATATCTGCAACAGCGGTCAACAATAAGGTATTGAAAGAGGAAAAAGGAGGAGAGAGAGAGAGAGACACACACACACAGACGGACAGAGAGAGAGAGAGACACAGACACAGACATACGGACAGACAGACAGACAGACAGAGGTAGAGAGAGATACGAGAAGAAAGGAGACAACGAGGAGAAGCGCGTGGTTGCCAGCCGGTACAATGGCGAGCACAGAGAAAATGGAATAGTACAGACTACAGAAAAAACTATTTGCAAATTATACGGTAGGAAAAGGAGTGGCACTAAGAAATTAATGTCTAAATAGCATGGACGTGGGTGGTTTCCGGGTGCTTCATAGTTTATACATGATCTGTTAGCATTAGTGTGGTGTTTGTGTGGAGGTCTCAACATCCTACACAATGCCGATAATAATTATTATGTGGTAAACCGTAAGCAAATTTGCAAAAGAGGTATATGCGCGGCAGCAACAGCAGCATATCAGACCACCCATACTTGATTCATCACGCATGCTAGTAGTTTTACATAACCATTACGCCCAGCAGCAGCAGCTAGCATGGGTCCACTACAAGCTACAACAGCACATGATGTGGCTCCATTCTAGATGCTAGTTCCGGGGCAGGGCAGGCAAGACAGTGACAGATTGATTGTGACTGGTACGCCTGAGTCAGAGCACTGCCGCTGGCTTGTGTGTGTAAGTGTGTGTGTGCGTAGTACCATTGGAGAATTATGAACATTTTGCTTTAAAATACGAGTCTCTAGGAACAAGACATAAACGAAGCAGAAGCAACCACCAAACCACTCTGCCTTACCTAGATATATAGCCAAGGTAGAACAGCAGTGTTTACCCGTGTCCCCTCGGCTGTCTCCTCTGCGGTTACCACTGTTGCTGGTGCTGTGGCCATAGACACAGCTTGAAACTCATCACACCACGATTCGTGCATTGTGGAGTTCGGCTGGGCACACTGCTGCGAACTGTAACAAGCAGCTTCTCACATCTTGTGCGTTTGAGGAGCACCAGCTGCATCATTGTACGAAGGCGGAAACTGACCAACACCTGCACCCGGAGCCGGAGGATAAGTTCCCGGGGCCATAGCCTGGCCCTGGGGGTAGGCTCCCGGGGCCATGCCCTGGTCCTTGGCGTAACCTGGGCCGGGCTGACCCATCATTGGCTGTTGACCCATCATTGGCTGTTGACCCATCATTGGCTGTTGACCCATCATTGGCTGTTGACCCATCATTGGCTGTTGACCCATCATTTGCTGTTGCCCCATCATTTGCTGTTGCCCCATCATTTGCTGTTGCCCCATCATTGGCTGTTGCCCCATCATTGGCTGTTGCCCCATCATTGGCTGTTGCCCCATCATTTGCTGTTGACCCATCATTGGCTGTTGACCCATCATTGGCTGTTGCCCCATCATTGGTTGTTGCCCCATCATTGGCTGCTGACCCAGCATCGGCTGCATTTGCTGTTGCTGCATCATTCCTGTTTGCTGGTTTTGTCTGTCTCGCTTGCTGCTGCCTCCAAACAAGCCACCGAACATACCACCACCACCCTTGGCTGAGCTTGCCAGTGCTGCAACCATGCCCACTTTGAGCATTGTGTCCGTGTCCACACCACTTGTGAGCTGCTGGCCCGGTCGCCGGCCAAACGACATGGCTTTCGAGCACCAGCTGAGAAGGATCAAGACGAAAATGGCTATGCCGATGTAGATGTACTGGGCCGTGGTGAGCTTTGACGGAGGTTTGGGTGTGGGTGTGGGTTCCGGGGGTGCGGTCGCACAGCAGCATCCACTCGCAGTGAGCGGGCTGCTTGCGCAATGTGAAAACGTGGTACCGTGCGCCGGTGCTGACGTGTTTGCATAGCAGCACCGTGTTAGAGTGGCTGACTCCCACGGACGGGGGCAGGTGTACGGCACTGGTTTTAGGCCACCAAGAGAACTCCGAATGGTGCACTGCCCACTGGCAGGGGACGTGCGGACAGTGGGTGTGCTCCCTGTCCGGCCTGTGTTGCTGGTGCCAGAAGACGGGGCTTGGCCTGTGCCTGTAGCTGATCCTACTGGTATAGTGTTACTGCCAATACTGGTGGTGACAGGTACCTGTGTCTGTTGTCCACAGCACAGCTCCACATCACTGACAAGCAAACAGAACAAAACCAAGGCGTGCAGCCTGTCCGCCACATACCCGGCTGTTACCCTTGCCCGGGATTGACTCTGCATTCTCTCCGACTAATCACGAGTTGTCATACACGTATAATGATCGCCTAGCTGACAGGATAAAATCTGTGTCTCGAGCGCTCGAGGTGGACCTGCTGCGGGCAAATCTGATCCAGTTCCACGGATTTCGGCTTGGCAAACTGCTACTACACTATATTCCACGGGAAACGAAACTATCATATTACATGTACGTCTACTGGTACAGTCAAAGTACTGAGCGAATGGACTCGCTTATGGACGATGTTCCTGGTGACAAATTTCTCAGATCGTCTTCACTGCTCGAACAATAATCATGAAGATGTCCGATGTATTTTATTATTCAAAATTGAAATGCCATCCACGCATGATGCTACAGTCCCTGAAATACCAAAATACTACTCTACTAATTACCAGTTCACTAGCCAAGGCCAAGCGAAACCCTGATATTCCAGCTACAGCTTTGTTGGAAGAGAAACAGAAAACACCCTTCGACGAGACCGAAACCACACAAACACAAAAACATGCACACACGTACACAAGATCCTGGGAGTTGAAACTGGTATGGCCGGTTTCAGCCTGTGCGCGTGCGTGTACGTGTGTCTACCATGTACAGGAAGTCGTACGATCGTATGACCCATACGACTCCCTGACACGTGTTTACAAGGCTTCTGTGTACGTGTGTATAAATTATACCATCTACGAGCTCGTGGTGATCTTGTTTTGTTTGCTATGATTCCGTGATTTTCTGTTGGTTGCTTTTCTGCTGTGCGAATAAATGCAGTGTCAACAAAAACGTTTGTTAGTACCGTAAAATCCCGCCAGAGCGCCCATATAATATACCCTACCTCCTCGACGCTTCGGGTGGGGAGGGGCGGATGGCCGAGTCCTACTCAGTATACTTGCCGCATTCAGTACTGTACATGAACAAGTACTCGTACTCACCCTACGAGAACTGTTTGTGCATCTCGTACACCGACCAGAGGTCAAGAGCCAGGAGTCGAACAGACTGTGACAGAGTCATACGAGGATACAATTTGTAGGCACTTCAGCCGGTTTTTTCAAGTCGGGTTTCTCCCAGGTTTAGCATCGTAAATCGACAGTGGTGGGTATCACGAGGTCACACACAAAATTTCATTGAAATCCACATAGATACAAGTGAGATATGAAGGGTTGAAGAGAGGCAATTGCATGAGGCGAAAGCAATACAATTATTTGTGGTACCAACAGCATCCCCAAAGTGTTATCAGTGGATATAGTTGCAAAACATCAGAGTGGCATTTTCAAACACACGGCTCTCACAAACACCAACAAGCGTTTATGGATCAACAAAATACTGATCAAAGTTCACAATAGTCCAGAATACGGCAATTGTTACCACAATCACCATAGCAATTAGCAACCCATAGTAACCCATGGCAACCCCATAGTAACAGCTTCGGTTTGCTGTGAAATAAGCTAGTATCGACATTAGAGTTCACCAGCAGGCAATTGCCGCTGCTAAATGCTATAAAAGACATTCTTCTGGCACTCAGAAGGTAAGCACACAGAGATAGCATACGCTAAATGAATTGAAAGCGGAATTTCTGCATACACAACGCACGCGCACACGTTAACGCCACTTCAAACAGAGGTTCGATGTTGGATTACAATCAATCACGTCCATGACAAGAAGTCAGGGAGGGGCGGATGGGAGAGTCGGGGCGCTCTGGCGGGATTTTACGGTACATGTAGTGCCTAGTGGTACCAAGAGTAGATAAACTGTTTATCTACTCTTGGTAGTACGCTCGTACTCCAGGACGATCGTACCGCTGAACCGTGGGCCGGCGCCGCGCGGGGAAGGAGAGTTTTCCTGAGCGATGAAGTCTTGTCACTGTTTGTTAGTCTGAGAGAGTCGAAGAACACTACAAGTAGGTAAGTATAGTCACTGCACTGGAATTCAGGAGCAGGCCGCGATCTGTGAGGTGCTGCTTCACCAGTCTAGGGTCCAGCGGATTCTGCCGGTAGAAAAATTGGCAGAATTCGGTACTTTTTCTGGTAAGTTTCATGCATGTTTGGTATGTGGATAAAGAAATGGAGCAGAATTTGAGGAATTGCCCGC